TCCTATTAGCCTTGAGCTAACAGTTCAATTCAGTTTATTTCTATAGCGCCGATTCACAACACAAGTCATCTCAAGGTACTATAGAGTTCAACCAGATCATACAGTTAGATTGATTCAAAGTTTTCTATCTAAGGAAAACCAGTTGATTGCATCGACTCATCTACTCAAATACAATCCCTCACACCAAGCATGCTCTTAGCGACAGTGGAGAGGAAAAACTCCCTTTTAACAGGAGGAAACCTCAAGCAGAATCAGGCAGAGTGTGAGCGGCCATCTGCTGAGGCTGACTGGGGTTCAAGGAGACAGAAGCAGAGATACAAAAAGCAGCTGTTAAAAGAGGCCCTGTACAGGAAACACACAGCCAGGCAGACGAGCTCCGAGCCAACTCCCATGTCAGAGGATGAAGAGAGCAGTTCCACAGTCAGAGAAAAAGGACTACTCTGAAAAACAGGCTGATCTCCAACATCTATAAAATGTGACACAGGTAACACATGATAACACATCTTTAGAGGGTCTCCATTCAGCATACACAGCAAAAATATAGGGCCAACCTGTCTCACTGGTATCACTATCATGCTATTTGTTCATTAATCCGTGTTGTAATAATGTTACCTACAAAACATTCAGAGTTGCCTGTACATCAGTAAACCAGGCTCTCCTCTAGGGATTCATAAACATTATATACATAGATACTTCATGTATGCTGTCAGCAGCGAGGCCGACTCCCCTAGAGGGCGGCCATTCTGGAGCCAGCCGGGGACGGAGCGACTAAACCCGACCCGGTGACGGTATGCTTCCCCGGTAAGGCAGGTGGAGGAAAGCACGGGGGCCATGCCTACCATCACTGTGTCGGGTTCGGTCGCTCCATCCCCCGCTGGCTCCGGATCCGGAGCAGCTCTGGAGTTGATGACTCCATTCGGTGCCTGTTGTGTTTCGACTATGTGCTGCACTGTAGTTGACCAAAATCCCAGACGATTTTGAAATCCCCCCCTGACATTTTTTTAGGTATGAAAAGTAGGAAATGTCAGAAAAAGACGTCTGGTCACCCTAACATACACAGTATCTTACCTTTATTGTTGTTGTAGTATATGTACGTTAAAGGCATTATTTCATAGGCGAGTAAGAAAAAAAGGAGGTTAATGACTAAAATTGGCTAAACTGACTAATAACTAACAATACACAATAGCATGACATAACACGTTTCAGTAAAATTTAGTATGCAACCAGAGGGAATTACTGAGTTATGTATTTTTCTTTTTAAAAACACCATATAGAGTGAATTCACCTTTATGTAAAGCCATTACTTTCTATTGTCCGTGTATTGGAGCTAAATTCCTTATTATACCTTCTGTAAATATCTTTTCAACATTTTTCTTTACCAAGCCTGATTAAAATGATAGAAATTCGTACGGTGAAAGTTTTCTTTTAGTGTTCACCAGATAATGCATTTAGTTAAAAAAAATTTTAATGATTTTATTGTTTTTAATCTTTTTGCATCAACACAAATGTTGAAGAAGCTGTATGCAATAGCAAATTCATATTTGGCCCATAATGCAACAGTTCAGCATCTGATTTAAGGCGACTGGTAGCGAAAAAAATGGGCATCACCAGAAAGACAGGCAGAGTGGATGACCAGTACAAACAGACAAATGAGACACTACACAGAAATGGAAAGTAACAGGATTGCTCTGTAATCTAATGATAATGACGACTGTGTGCGTCAACTCCAGCTCTAATTATCTGTCACACACTGAAATGGAAAAAGTCTTCAGGGAGCGCGTGCAGGAACAAGGAAGAGGAGAAAAAAGCAGAATGGACAGAGGCAGCATAGAGTACACATGTTAAGAC